AAACAACAAAATAATTCCGGATCGGCACAATTGCACCCATTTGCCCCCCAACAAATTAGCTGCACTAAACAGAAAGCAAAGAGGGTGCGTCCTGAGACTGGATTCTCAAAGTAATTTTGGCTACTGATAAAATAAATTAGTAGGCAAGATTACGGCGCTGCCTGTGGTGAATGGGAGCAGGTGCCAGGTCCCTTCGGACTCGCCAGTGCCTGGCACTCCCTGCATCCTCTCCCCGCACAAGATTCGCAGCAAGGCGCAAGTTCTGTGTAGATTAATTTTAAACAAAAAGGTACAGCTAGTTATTCCTCTTTGTTGTTAGCTAACGGGTGTCCTGCAGTTTCTCACCAGAATTTGCCAAGATCAGCCCCAGGGCCAACTGCAGGATCTTCCAACGCATCTGGAATAGCTGATCCCGTGACCCTGAAACCAGAAGGACGGCACAGTCGGCTTCCCACACGCTCTGGGACTTCACGCCTCCACCCTCCGGACGCATCGGCACGACGGGCTGGAAACCGCCACGCACCGTCCCCCAAGCCCTCAGTTCCAGGCTCGTGGGTCATTTGATAATGGGTCGGCTTTAGAGCACCGAGACCTGTAAAAAGACCCATTCTGAACTTTTGTCAGAGCACAGCGTGAATCTATCACCGGAAATCCAAAGCCACACGTCTGTCACCACCACCCCCCTTTCGTATACCAGCCCATAGATGGAGCTCTCGGGTCAGTTCTGAGCACATGGCCCTTGCCTGCTCCCAAGCCCCAGCGCTGCTCTGCAGATGGCCGGCCACCCACCTCGCCTCACGGGGAAAGAGCCGGGCTGGCAGGGGCTCCGATGAGAGCCAAAGGCACGCGGTTTGTCCGTTGGGTCACCCATTTATCGGGCTGGCGGTAAGCGACGTGTCCTCGTCCCTCCAGCTCACACTCCGAGAGGCACAGGAGGCGCTGCTTGGCCCTTCCGTCCTTCCAGAGCAGCCGGCAGGACTTCGGAGCCAAGCACGGCGCTCCGGCCCCATGCGCTCCAGCACATTCACGGGACCATTCGCTCCTTCCGTGCCCCAGCTCGAACGGCTCTGCAAGCGACCAGGCCGAGCAGGGTTTTGCCTTCGTTCCCTTACCTGGAGGGGGCACGGATTCAACGCCAGCACTTCTCCGTGCGGGCCACGCGCTCCGCAGCTGCTCCGGGGGGCCTCCCCCGGCGTGTGCTTGCACTTCTGCCTCCCCCGGGGGAGCTGACGGCCCCTCGCCCCGTCTGCTAGGCCACCAGCTCCATCAGCCACAAATCTTTCCGCTCAAGAGGCCACTGGGGGCACGATCCGATGCAGCTTTCGGCAGAAAAGCGGCGCCCAGCCAGCGGCAACGCGGGGCGCACGGACCGTGCACAGCAGCTCGCGCTCCACGCCCTTGTGCACCGCTCTCCCGGTCGCAGCTGCAGAACACGCGAGCGAACAGGGCAGGCAGCGGCCTTCCGCCTGCTTGTGCGTTTCCTGCATGTAGGTCAAGCCCACATTACCAAGAACTGATCTTCCCTCGTCGCTGCCCAGGCTGCCGTTACAACATCCCCAGGCGCAAGAAAGGCCCCGTGGCAAATTTAGCCTCTCTACACGTTCACTCTTTCCGCATGGTCTTTTGTCACACAAATATCCCATCCACCCTCTAGAGAAGCAGCAATTCCCGAGTGAGAGGGAGAAGGTCCCCGAGATGTCGGGGCGGGGGATCCCAAGGGGGCCACGCTTCCAACACTCCGCCTCAAGCGCTCAGGCAACCTCGAGGGCTTGGTTACCTTTGACGCGACCACCTCTGAGCCTAAGGGGACCCCCACTGGGCCCACCCGGGCAGGAAACCCACCTCGAGGGCCTCTGGAGCAGTGCAGCGAACAGGAAACAAGCGAACGGGCCTCAACCGCCCCGCAGGACTCAGCCCCGATTCCCCCACCGTGAACCCTTCACAGCCAAGATGGCGGAACAGCTGCCCCCCCCCCATCCCCAGACTGAAGCCGGGCCCCAAGCCACGATTGTGCCTGCGCGGGGGGAAGCGGTCCCCCACCTGGGCCTGGTCTGGGAGCCGTGGCAGCACTCGCACGGGGAGCCAAGATCCCCAGGCGCCTCGGGGCTTCACGGGTCGCAGGGGCCTCTCCCGGCGGACGAGGTCGGCGCTCAGCCACCACTGTTTCTTACTCTGAAGGAGAAGCGCACGAAAGGGGCCCTTGCAAACGGACCGGGCTGGGCGCCCCGAACCCCCAAGGCATGGCCAACGGGCGAAAAGCTGGCCAAGGCACTGGTCGGGCCTCCACTAGGCCCCGGTGGCCACCTTCTGTGGCGGGTCTCCTGGGCCCCTCGCCAGCCGTTTGGGCCAGGGGGATCAAGAGACGGCTTCCCCCCGCCAGACCCTTTTTGAATTTACATCTGCCGAGACGGGGCTGCTAGTAGGCCCGATCTGGACGGGTCCGGCCAGAATTGGATTCCCTTGGCCCGTTGCCGAGAGAGGACCATGAGCCGAACCTGACGATATGCCACCGGGATTCCATTAGTTCCCAGTATTTCATGGGAAATACTGGCTTTTCAGCAGATACATGTGTTGCTCAGACAACGAGCACTCTGTCCATGGTCAGAGACTCTCAGGCTGAGATACTAGAACAGTTAAAAACAAAAAGAAGTAAATCAAAGCATAATGCAGTACGGCCTTAAAAAGAGCAGAGAAAAGTCACTCTGAACACAACTAAAAGGAGGATCAGTGTCTGCGCAAGCAGAAGCTGAGCAACGGGGCCTTTTCGAGGTGTTGAAGACACGATGGCCGAAACCGCCCTTTGTGGGGGCTCTGAACCGGCACAGTCGGAATACCGAGAACCTTCCTGGGGTCTTACCCCTGGGGAAGGTGGAGCCTCACCTCTCTGAAGCGCCTGATTTGGGGACAGGAACCGCTTTGTGTGCCAACAATAAGGACGCTTGAAGTGGGAAAGCACAACAACGGGGACACTGAGCGCAGAGCCGCAGGCCGCAGCCGCGTGAGCGACCCGGCGAGCCGCCTCCGGCGTGGGCCGTGCAGGCTCCTGCTGACCCCGCTTTGGCTGGGGGGGCTCGGCAGGGGGCAGCCCCAGAGCCGCCTGGGGGCAGCACGACACAGGCGACAGCGCAAAGCCGCCCGCCGAGCCCTCCTGCAGATGGGTGCCAGATGGGTGCCATGGAGGTGCGAGCAAACAAAGGGCATGGACCGGAACACACCCGTCTCGCTCACCTCCACCTGGGCTTGGCAGAGCGAGCGGTGGGCTCGGAGAGGACCTTCTCCTGCAGCCGCCCCGGGCAAAGGCAGGGCTCGCAGGCCCAGGCGCCAGGGCGGTTCCCAGGCATCGCCTCCAACTCTCCACCGCTTCTTCCACCCAGAAACTCCGCTTCGTAGCCTCTCTGACCAGCTCCACACACGTAGAAACAGAGCGAGTCAGAAGGGCCCTCCCCGGCCATCTAGTCTGACCCCCGGCTCCATCCGGCTCTGCTCACAACATGCCCACCATGTGCATGTCCAGCCGATCCTTGAACATACAAAACTCCTTTCCTACCAGGGTTTTTTTTTTTAATCCTGCTGTTTGTTGTTTAGTCGCAAAGTCGTGCCCGACCCATCACGACCCCATGGACAACCTCATTTTACGCTGAAAGCTTCTGTAAATGAAATAAATAAAGCAAAAAAACTGAACCAGGCAGAATTTACAAGCATATCCACATTTACAGAAAGCATGCATGTGTTTTAATGAATCGAGACATTCCACACAGAAATCGCGTAACTGAGAATGTAAGGCAGGGATACATCCACAAAAGTCAAACATGGAAGCATGCTGCTTGGCCGAATGAAAGCCATTCAAATGACCTGGGAGGGGTTGAATTCATTCTCTTAACGTTCTCCGTGTTGAATTCCAGGTATAACAACATTAAGAGGAATGACATGATAAAACAGGAAAGACAGATAAATGAAACATTTGTTCATTCTAGTCCTTCGGTGCAGAATTTCACTGCCAGAGTTTCTAAAATCAGATTTTGTAATCCGGATCTGACTCCAGATGAACCAACTCCTGAGGTTCATTAAAAAAAAAAAAAAAAAAAAGCTAGCTTCAAAACATACGTATGGATGTGCTCACCTATTTAACAACCTTCACTGGGACATTCTTCAAATTTAGTTTCCTTTTTTCCAGTTTGAAACGTTCACATCACCCAAAACAAACAAGCTGAACAAAGGTCCCTCCTTATTTTTCAGCTTTTCTCCATTTCCGCCTCCTACCCACTCGATCCCCAAGCAACAGATAGTCTGGCTGGAAACAATTTGGTACACCAAGGCAAGAAAGATACACTTCCAGAGCAAAACAAACCCTGCGCTCAGCAACCTGAATGGGCAAAACACAACACAACACAAGCAGAGCTCATACGCAGACGATCTGTGCCGAGCACCCGGCTGCCGCCCCTTCCAAACTCGGAGGGCTTCTGGCAGCATCCTCCGCAGTCCAGCGAAGGAGGGCAGCACCCCTGGGTGACATCGTGTGTCCCCGTCATAAACTACTGCACAATAATGCTTGCCTGGAGGCCGCCCGTGTCAACAACTGCCTGCAGGGAAGGCTGTGAGGCGGGGGCCCTGTGTGGGCAGGGATGCGGAGTCCACTTCCAGCTCAATGCGGTCCATCAGCAGGTGCGGTTAGAGGCTGCATTCTTTCTATGGGTCCCATCCAGCTAAATCCGCCATGGAGGCCAGCGAGTGGGCAAACGCCTGTGGCAGAACAACAGCCAGGCGTGTGGCGTCGGAGCGCTCCTCCAGGGCTGGAGGTCCCTACCCAGGCAACGTTCAGGCGCGGGTGCGACCGGACCCTCCGTGGCGTTTGCAGGCACCCGGAGGCTGGGCTGGGAGCTCGGCGGAGCTGGGGAGTCGCACAGACGGGCAGCGGAAGTCGGGCTGCCTCCGAAGGCCCAGGCACGGAGGACTGGGCTCCCAGCTCCCGGCTGGCCCCACTCGGGGGCCCGGACGCTGCATCAGTCCCGAAAAGCCGCGGTGGTCACGCAGCAGAGGCAGCGGTCGCAGCAGCTGCTCGGCGGGAAGTACGGCCCCGGCAGCGCCTCCTGGCAAGGGCCGGCGGGCTGCCGTGTTACCGGGCTCTCTTTGGCGAGTGCTTTGGAGGCCGGGTCGGGCTCCGTCCTGCCCGGCCCCCGCGGATGCTCCCTCTCGGCCTTGACCGCCAGGAAGGCCGCCAGATCCAGGTCGAGCATGGCCACCCCTCCACGCGGGGTGGGGGTGTTCTGGCGGCACTGGGGGCACGGGATCCACCACTGCTCACTGCTGACCACGTTGAGGCGCCGGAGGCAGGCCTGGCAGAACGTGTGGCCGCAGTAGAGGCGGCGGGGCAGGTGGGCCGAGAGGTCGTAGGAGCAGTAGCAGATGATGCAGTCGGCCCTGGGGCTGCCGCGGGTGGCGGGGGCTGCGGACTGGCCCTCGGGACCCCGCTCGGGGGCCTCTCCAGCCCTGGGCGCCTGCGGCATCCTGACGGGACAGAACCGAGAGAGAGGCCGCTCAGCACCGGGCCGCGACCTGTCTTCCGCGTTGGAGGCCTGTGGAGGCCTCCCAGTCTCCGGCACTAGCCGGCCACTGGCGCATCGAGCCGCTCTGCCTGCGGGAGCCGACGGCAAGCAGCAGGGCAGGCTCAGCAACCTCGGGACTGCGCTGGGGGCGAGGACCCCCGTGCCAGGCTGTGCGCCCGCTGCCTAGAACTTCTCCCTGCCGGGCTGCTGAGGTCGCCCACACGCGAGACCCGGCTGGGGGGAACTTACATTTCCAGAGGCTGCGCCATCCCGACTGGTCCCGGGCGAGAAGCGAGCGAGCACACGGAAACAAAGGCACGATCCTGCGCGGGCTCTTTGAGCCAGGGGTCTCCTGCGACCGACTGACCGCCCACGAAGGCTGCTGGCCTCCGGGTGGCTTCTGGACACATCTCCCAGAGGCCTGCTGCCGGCTTCTCTCCCCGGCGCTCGCAAGCGGTTCACATTTCAGACACAGTTGCTGGAGTGCATCTGCCGCAAGGAACCCAAGCCAGCGGATCGAGTTACTGCCCTGCCAGCGCACGGCGGCCTCTGACATGCAGCAAGCCCTCCTCTGCCCACCCGGACGGAGCATGCGGGCCTTCCCCGCCAGGCCTTGGACCCCAAGGTGAGAGGAGCGCTCCCGGGGGGGTCCAAGGCCGCTGGGGTCCTGCTGGCCCGGCACGGTCCTGCCCTCTGGGGGGACGCTCTTTGCACCTGCACCGTGCAAACTGCTTTCCCTCCTTTGCGTCTGTCTTGAATGCTCGGGCCATTTCATTCCCCGTCTTTCCAAAAACCCAGCTGTGGGCTCTTCTCATGCACTGGTCATTCTGTGTCCAGAGTTACTAAGTAGTTCTTTAGAGGATATCATGACCCTCTAATTTCACTTCTCTCTTTAAAGGGCACTTTCTGCGAGATGTCTTAGAACAAGGAGAACACAGTATTAAATTGTAAAAGCAAAATAAAAAGCTGCTTCCATTTGCTCTATTCCACTACCCCACAGCACCACCTAGAGGTTACAGTGCAAAAAAGCCAGAAAAGTTATGCTCGGAGCTCAACAGACTAAAAGATGACACAGTGGATTTACCATAGAGTTAGAACTATTTCGATTAGTACGGAAGGCTGCCAGTCACAAAAGGCCGTTAAAAATCAACCAGCAAGTGCTGGGAAGGATCCTCACTCCCACATCCGAGGCCCTGGAGACCTGCCATCAATCAAAAGGGACCATACAGTACAGGGCACTTGAGCTCAATGGGCAGAGCCTCAGTCCTAGAGCAAATCAAGCCAGAGATTTCTACAGAGGCAAAAATGACAAAACTGATACTGCCATACTTCGGACACATCTGAAGGCGGCAACACTCCCTGGCGAAGACAACCTCGCGACGGAAAGTCACAGGCAGAAGAAGAAATGGGAGACAAAATACGAGATGGATCGGCTCCATCAGGGCGCCAAGACTTGGGTTTCTTGGGGCTGCCATGGAGAGAACCTTTGAAGGGCTTTCATGCATAGAAAAATAGAAACAGCGCAAGTCGGGAGGGACCTTCCGGGTCATCTAGTCTGACCCCCGGCTCCAGCCAGCTCCGCTCACAACATGCCCACCATGTGCATGCCTAGCCTATCCTTGAACACCCGCACCGATGGGGTCTCAGCCACCTCCCGTGACCGCCTTTCCCCTGGCCCCACCTGTTACCCTGAACACGGATCATTTCCCACTTTTTTTTTCAGTTTTTCCCCTCTCCAAGTAGTGAGAATTTGCTACTTGACTCGGGCCTTCCCCGATTACGTTTTATCAGGCTGCGATTGTGTTGCAGCTTCTGTTCTTACGCTTGCATTTGCCGTTCTTTTGGAATATTTGCTGTTTGTATTACAGCATCATTTTTATTATACTAATTAATCACAGGCATTTTCTGTTCTACGCTACCTTGAGGTGACTCTGGTCCTAAAGACAGCCGAGAGACATTTTAAATAAATCAAATTTTAAAGTAGATGGAACAGTAAAACTAGAGGGGAGGTTGATCAAAAACTAACCAGAATGCACATAAGTTGCGATTCCTCTGAAGGAGCGGAAGCTCTTCTCTGGAGTCCTCCAGGGCTGGAATTCGGAAGGACGGCTGCTCAAGAGAGCGAGCTTTGGATGGGGCGGATCCTGGCTCAGGATCTCTCTCCAAAGGCGCCGTCCCAGCACAATCGCTGCTGATGCTGTGGCAGCCCCAGGCTGAGACCGTCTGACTCCCAGAGCGTTTCAGTACTGGTGGCTCACGGCACGTGGCTGTTTTGCTGTTCTCGTTCTGCACAACCATTTTATTCTAGCCCTGAAAAAATCCTGCGCACAGGAGAGGCGGTGGGGGGGGGGGGGAGGCCCCAACCAGGCAGGGCCACCCACTTGGAAGGGGGATCAGCTCTCGCAGATCTCAACCCACCAAAAGACGACATGGGGACCAACTTCCCTTCAGGCATGCAAAGGGACGAAGTCAAGGACGAAGGGGACGGAAAGGCACTCGAGGCGTGGGCCGCGGCCAATACTGCTTTTGCAGTGGCACTTCCGGGGGCCGCAGGGGGAGGCGGCTGTCAGCTGGCCCACAAGCAAAACCATGCGCCTTTCCTGGAAGAACCCCACGGACAGGCGGGAGTGGGGCAGGCACCGGTCCAGCCGCATTCCTCATCGCTGCCTGGCAGGCAGGCAGAGGAAACGCACCGGAGAATCCAGCCTCCCGGGGGCCGCCTGTGGGTGTGCGATGCCGGGCTGACAGCTTTTCCTGTCAGGGTCCAAGGGGGAGGAAGACGGGCGGTGGGGACGTGTCCCTGCTAAGGAAGAGCTGCACCCCTGCGCAAGCCTGTCTCTACGGGGCAGGGGGAGTACGGATCTGGGGGCAGGGCCCCCCGGACCGAGGTGGAGCACCCTCCACCAGCCCACAGGCCCCTCTGCTACCCAGGGCTGCACCCCAAGTCGCTCACGGGGCAACGTGGAGAAGGCCAGGGCGTCTTCGGCTCATTGCCTGTGGGAACACTGTGGCCTGTGCACACCTTTCCTTTTACAGTTGTGAGACTTTGAGCAGCTTCATTTCTGACTTGAAGAAGTGGAAAAGTTTATCACAGATTGATCTGTTAGCAAGACGGAAATAAGGGCGAGCAAGTCAAGACTAGACGAGAAAGAACAACGGGCCATCCAGTCACGCTGCAGATGAGGAAGAGGAGTGTTTTACAAGGCCTAGCATTGTATTAATACAAAACACCACCGTTATGAAATGCTCCATCCATGCAACCCGACACTTCCCCAGCCGAAGGTGGAATCCCCACGTGGCTGGACAGAAACAAACGGGGTGCTGGTACGGACTCTGCCGGGGAGGCCCGGGCTCCCCAAAAGCAAGCCGCACTCCCCTCCAGCTCTCAGCCTCCAGCACCTGCTCACCGGCTTCTGATGGCACACCGAGGGCAGAGGGTCCGCCCGGCGTGCTCCGCTCAGGGCACAGTCCTTGCGCGGCGGCACACGTGGCCCGCCTCCCAGGGGTTAGGCGAGCGCAGGCGGGCACAGCGGGGAGACCGACCAGCCCGCCGCCCACCGCGCCAGGCCGGGCCACGCATGGCCAGCAGCGCCTGGAGAGGGGGGATGCCGCAGGTTCACATCCAGAGCCCTGAGGCGCCACGTGCTCCCCAGCCCTGCTCTGCACAAGCCGGAGGCAGCCAGGCGGCTTGGGGGGCTCGGCCAGAAACGGCGGCGCTCTGCCGCTTCGGAGGCATCGCCCGGCCGGCGGTCTGCAGCAACGGGCGCGACCTGCGCCTTCCCACCAGGCAGGGGCGACCCAGAGGGCCAGACGTGCAGGGCAAGGGTGGGGGGGGGGGGGGCAGACTGGCTCTGCTTACGCGAAATAAGCCCCCTGCTCGTTCACTTTCCCGAGAGAGCGGCCTGGTGGGACCGCCCCCCCCCGCCCACGCCCCCGTGAACGCAGCGCTGCATCCAAACGGCAGACTCAGAACCGCGGCGACGACCATTAAGGCCGCAAGACTTACAAAGCAATGCACTTGACGCGTGCCCCTTTTCCTTCGTTTTTTATTGTGAGTTGCGGAGCAGAGAGTTAGTCAGCCATGAAGATGTGGCTTGGTTCTTCCCCTTGGCAACATATTCCATGTTTCAGCCCCGCACCCACCCCAGGCCAGGCCAGGCCGGTGCAATGCAGCCCGAGCCAAGCGGGCCTGCCTCCCTCAAGCGCCAGCGCTTCTCCCGGGCCGCTCACTCCCCCGAGATGTCACTCCCCGCCCCGGAGGAGGGAGAACTTTTCCAGCAAGGAGTCATCAGAGACTGAATTTGACCGATTTCAGCACGTCTGCTCTGGCACTCCGGGACGGCGAGAGGGCAGCAGGCAAGAGGTGCCTACGGGTGCCTTTTGCTTCAGGGACTGCCGTGGTCTTTGCAAAGCCTCACAGAACAGTCACAATCCAGGAACACCTGCGTTCGCAGCAGCTTTCAGTTGAAATAAAGGAAGGACAGAAACCACCTCCTCTGGTTCTCTGGCCACGGAGGCGAGGTACTGGGGGAGCAGCAGGCCACGGGGCTCCTCCGGAACAAATCTTTCGGCAGAAGGCTGGGCACCGAAGCAGTGGTGCTCTGTGGCACATGGGATGTGGCCCCTGGCCAGGGCCCCCATCCCCGGGGAGAGTCCTCCACCTGCGTGGCAGCTCGCAGACCTGCCCCTCACCTGCCGCCTTCCTCTCCTGCTCACTCCCAGCGGGATCCATTCCTCGGTTAGCAGGCGGGGGGGGGGGCCTGCAGGCACTGCCCCGTGCCCATGACTGCCTCCTCCTCTTAACCACCCAGAACAGACTCAGGGCCCCATGAGCCCCGGGAAGGCCGCCAGGGACTGGGCCTGGCACACCCCCTTGGCACACCTGCCCGGGCTCCAGCTCGGCGTTTTGAAGCCCTGGGGGGAAAAACTCCTTCACGGCTGAAGCCAACGCAGTGCTTCTTTCCTGGGGGTGGGGCTTCCTGGGGGGCCCTTGGGCTCTCCCACAACCCTTTGTGCCGAGTATGAGGCTACAGAGGCCCAGCCTGGAGGAGAGCCCGTCCTCCAGGACTGCCCCCGCTGCCTTTCAGAGCAAGCCGGCGGGGGGGGAGCGGGGGCTGCAGCCGCCTGCCAGGGGGCCGCCTGCACCTGACCGAGGCCGTGGCACGGCAGCCTGGCCATGCACTGTTGGGGGGCGGGGGCTAGGAGACGACACAACAGCACCTCTTGCAGCAGGGGCAACACCTGGCGCAGCAGGGTGAGCAGCCCCCGCCCCCCCCCTCCCACCTCGGCGGCCCCCTGGCTCTTCCAGTGGAAGGGCTCCGAGGAGCTTCCGCCGGGCATCTTGAGGCTGGCATAGGGGTTGAAGGGCCGGGCCCACGATTCCTGCGTGGGCACCGGCTGCCCGTTCCAG